GAAGCAACAGAGAGATGTTTTCTAATAGTCAGGGTTTCCAATGTTCTGAATGTACTTGAAAGTATTGTGTTATACTTCAAAAACAAAGTGTTATAGTTTACAGAAGGTCTACCTACCTATAGGCTACCTGAATCTCTGAAATGTACTGTATTCCTAAATATGCTATTGCTACACTTTATGGCAAAAATTTCACTTTTCTGTTGGTCTTTGTTAAGTATAGCCTTGAAAAAAATAAACAATGTTTTGTTGCTTAAGCTTATGTATTCAGTCATTATTCAATGGTATACTAAAATCCATGTGAAAAAAATTGCTTCTCACTGTTCTCAGGTCAAATATTTATATGCGATTAAAAATGCGATTAATTGCGATTAATTAATTACAAAGCCTGTAATTAATTAGATTAATTTTTTTAATCGCGTCCCGGCCCTAGTATTTTTATGTTCATACAATAGTGATTTCAATGCCACCCCAAAATGATCACTGGTTCCATCCTGGCCACCCCACTGAAAATGTCCTGGCTCCGCCACTGGATTACGTATATACACCTTAAAGTAGTTTTCTACGAACCTCCCTCAGTTTATTCTGACAGAATTCAAAACATAGTTAGCCCTATGATAGTGCCATGTTATTAGGAGTTTTTTTTTACCAATACCAACTGAAATAGTTCCTAATAGTCTACCAACATTCTTTATATATAGTGCACAGAAGTATAGGAACAAATCATTTGGGTAAGGCTTATTTTTCTAAAGCCTTCATTACCCCGGCCCTGACTATAGTATACGCAACATTTTAAACTTTGCAAACGGTCTACACAGTAACGGTTGATGGTTATGAAATATCATTGTTAAAGGTCACATCAAGAGTATTTAGAGTTTGGTTGTTGTTTGCACTAGTTGTCTTATATTTTTCTTCTTTCTAAATGTATGTAATTTGTTCTGTTTGCGTAACCTGCCATTTGAATTGTGTAATGGAATAATCCTTCAATCTTTTTCTGTAGCCTAGTAACTTCTTCTGCGTCATAATTCATTGGCTCCTGCTACCGTATAAGCAATCACACTGATTGTAGCTCCTGTGCTAAGTAGGTGCATAGAATAACTATTATAAACATAATCATGTCCTCTCTGGTGTTTAAAACAAGTATGACAGTTGGTCAAATATCATAATTTCACATCCGCCTGTGAGTGAAGTTCTAAAATAATATCAGAATCAGAAACAGGTTTATTGCCAAGTACGTTAACACATATGAGGAATTTGTATTGGTGTTTTAGGTGTATTGAAATCATGAATCTCAACTTTCCCTGCTGTGCTACACTGATTACTCACTGTCCATTTTCCATTCCTCCTCACATCAGTTTTACCTTCAATCCGAAGGAAGGGATTGATAATCCAGCTCTGGTCATCAGTGATGATCCTGGTGCGGTTTGAATAACATTTCTTGACATACACAACCCTTAAAAACCCCTCCTAAAATCCCCCAGAGTTGATCTTTACTAACGATGTGTGCAGAGCCTGATCCGAGCCCGGTGCCCACACTCTGCCAGCTGAAGCGGCTGGAGGGACAAAGCTTCGGCTTCTACCTGCGGACGGACAAGAGCAGCCGGAGCTTTGAGATCAGAGACGTGGACCCCTGGAGTCCTGCAGGGCATAGTGGCCTCAAGGATGGAGACCGAGTGCTGGAGGTCAACGAGGAATATGTGGACAACACGGACTTCTCCAGGGTTAGTGTCAAGAGTTTGGTAGACACTCATCAGATATATAAAGAGAGCAACCTATTGCAACATGGCCTGTACCTGTTTATATGAAATGTGAATATGTATGGTTTTCATTTGTCTTGATGTTGAATGAGCAAAGTGATGTTTATAGCAATCCTTCATTTTGTGCTAAATTAAAGTAATTATTGTTTTAACAGTTTAATATTGTGGATTTGGATGGGGACTTCACATTCAGTTTCCTACAAGTATTGCAGATCCTCTATAATGTAAACAATATGCAGTTGAATTCGTTAAGTACTATAATGCCACACAAAAAATTGTAGATTGGTGCAGAAATCCGGAAATTAGTTCGCATGTTTGCACTTCTTGTGTAGGAAACATACTCAACAGATTTTATTTTCTGCAATATTCCAATATCCAATTGAAAAACACAATTTACTATTTAGTTCAGAGTAAACAGATTGGACTGATCTAAAGGTTTTGGCCTGAATGTTTTCTTTTTTCTCTATCTTAACCTGAGATTAATCATTAAGACTTGAGAGGTCAAAGAAAAGCAGCGATTAGGATCTGCTTACATTCCCTTTCAGTTTCAATATCAATTATTCACAAAATGTTGCGTTTGTGTTGGGATGGCGCTAATGTTTGAGAAACAGTCCTCAAAGGCATTACGGATTAAGTGAGTGTATTACCCGAATTATTTGTATCCCTCTGACTTTCCTGACAGATTGTGAGGAAGATCCAGTCATGCGGCTTCCACCTGTTCCTCCTGGTGTTGAGGAGGGAAGAGTACGAACAGGTACTGTACGAGAACCATGAAACAAAAAACTCATTATTACCTTCCATAACGGACTGGTTTGTGGAGAAGTGTCCGCAGTGGCGTTTTTATATGTACAAAAGTGGTGGGGCACAAACAACTTAGATGTGTACGTATAAGCTTCTGGTGCTTTTTTAAACACGTAAACAAATAGCTGTAGGCTATCAATGGTTCCGATAGAGAGAGGGGGGGGATAAGGAAAACACAGACACTCCTCTCCGAGGTCACAATATCAATCGATCCAGCAGAGCAATAGCCTATAGGCAAAACACAGAAGATCAACAAAAGATATGACATAAAATGAACTTACCAAAGCTGAACTAGATGGTCAAATTCATTCATTTTCTTTCCGTTTTACTGATTTTAATCGCTATATGCTGCTCTCTCGTCTCTTCACAAACAACTACTATTTTCGCGGGACACGTACTTACAGCCAATCAGCTCTCTGAATTATGAGATGACGTTTGGTGGGTATGTCAGCACAGTGCCCCTATAGAGTGGCGAAGTCACGCCCATCTACTTCCAGTCCATGGGACCTTATTTCGGAAAAATAATGTATTGAAGTCAATGGAGAGAGAAAACGTATCTTTCGATCCCGTTTGAATTGTACCATGAATTACACATATGATGTTTGTCAATCTTAAAAAATAATTTCCATGTCAAAAA